CCTTTTACCAGTTTTACTCAGGTCTTCATCCACCTTTCTGCACAGCCATCAATTTCACCTTTCTTTTTCTCTGAACTAACCACTGGACAAAATGACGTCATGCGCATTCCCACCCACGTGAATTTCAATACAAGTGGTGCAGTCCTGGTCATGGAATTCTAAGCTGATCAGATAAGGTGCATGCTTGTCTGCTGTGCTTGTGGGTGAGCCAGAGTACATGTCATAAGTAACAGCAAAGACCCATCACAGGCAACATACAAATGACTTAAGTTTGAATTCAAAATATGTCCAGAGAGCTTGTGAAACAGTTTGTGGAAACACAGATACTTAGAGCCACTTTCACTAGGTGGTTTAAGATCACATTAAGAACTTGCATCAATCTCAGTCATGTGCAGATTTTATTAAACAAACAAATTTCTCTATACCAGCCTTATTTTGAAAGAACTGGACACATTCCTACTCCTGTGCCACTGACAAACTGTGTTTGCACTGCAGATCCTAACTGCCTCACCTATTTTTATCCTTTGCAGGAACTGAGTAAAGGTAGCCAAAACTGTCATAGTTCCCACCATTCATTCGGTTCAAATGACGCAAGTCAAGTACATCCACAAGTCAGTCAACCCACAGCAGAATACACAGAAGAAAAATGTCATCACTACATAAGCTTTGGTTTTCAGTAGTAATCTACAATTAAAAAAAAAAAAAAAAGGGCAAAAAAGCGCTATTTGTGAGTCTAATGTTAAATTGGAGGGGGGGAAGGCAGTATATTTTCAATCTATAAAATTCCTTGAAAAGGGACAGTTGTTTTTGGAGGGAAGCATTTTAAATGACCCACTAACTCATTTACTCTGTCTTAGAAAAAGAAAAACAAAAGAAAAGGAAAAGATGAGATAGATTTTTATATGAAATATTGGTTCTCACTTAAGCATTTAAATGAAGTGGCTGGAAGGTATTTGGCAAGCAACAAATTTAGGGCAGCTGATCTTAGATGATATTTTATCTACAAAGGCCAGGGTCTTACAGGTAAAGCTCCCCAGAACTATTTACCATTTATGAATTTGTCTACAGATACAAATTATGTCACATTATATATAGAAGGATGAGTATTTTAAGATAACTATTCCAGAATGACTATGTCAGTACGTGAAGTTATTTGGAAAGTTATTGCACAGTGGTGCTGTATAGATAACGTGTAAGGGGTGCAGAATATTGTATCATATCAAAATCAAAACAATTCAACACTTTTCTGTGATGAAGCAAAATAATCTAGTCTCCAGATGTACCAAGAACTAAGTAAATCCCACAGCACCCTATAATGCTTATCTCAACCTCCACGAAGTTACTGAACAGAAATAAAGCTAGAATTACACACAAGTCTCAGATGCCTTTTCTGAACTTAACTGAGCTTCACCAATAGGTGAGATACAAATTCAACTGGTTACTGACATCTGGGTATGGATATCTTGCTTAATTTCTAGAAGAGTAAGTGGACACAAAGCGACTTTCCTTTGTACTGTTTCTCCAAGATCTCACCAGATGACTCATCCCCCTTCCTAAAGTACAGCAGAATCTCTCACATTGTCAGAACCAAAATTGTTTTCTGTAGTAGCAAGAGACAGACTAAAACCAAAATTGGATGCCAGTTCGCAAACTGCCATTAAATTTCCAGGAAGCCAGTCCACCAAGGAGCATACTGCACCCTAGGGAGTCCTTAACAAATACTGTCACATTTGCAATAAGCTAGTTAAGGTTGTGTCAGCATTTAGGTTATAAATCCCTCATTATATGTTAGCAAAACATTCCTGAAGCTTACTGAAACATGATATCCAGGATTCCAGTCTGGAAGGGAGGTAGGGAGAAAATGTCAGTACCACAGTAGATTGGATTTCATGTTTTAATTCAAAAATACCAAAAAAAAAAAAAAAAAAAAAAAGAGAAGCTTTGAACCATTTCAAGTTCCAAAGGCAGAGAACATTTTGGCAGGCATTTAAGGCTGAATCCTGCAGGTGGCAAGTGCCCTTGACTCTAATCTTGGTGGGACATATGAGTTGCCAGCATTCCTCCAAAGAATGAGGGACCATCAGTGCCTGAGGACATGTTTGTACCAATGGGCATTACAGCTCGCAGCTGTTCTGTGGTCTGGATCACAGTTCATCTATACTTTCTCTGTTATTCTGTGCTTAGAGAGCCTGATCCTTCTTTCATCACAAGGTTGAAGATATCTACAGTCCAGGGTCTGGAAGATAAGCACTATAAACCTGCAAACATGATGAAATATGCAGTACATGTAAGAGCTTTATGCACAGAATACACTTTGTGTTAGATGGACCATTACTTTCCCCTGGATGTTCGTATGTGGTGTATTTCACAGTATGGGCATTGTTTTTATAACTACAAAACATACAGCATCCAGTTTGGATGTCCTACCATTTCCAGCCCCACCAGCTGGAGCAGAGTGCATACTCCTGAATTCTAGTTCTTGGAAATGAATTGCAGTAGCGGGGAGAGGAAGCAGCATTAGACATCATTAAGAAAAGGGGCAGAGCAGACAGAGGCACTTCCTGCCCATCCAAGTCTGCATTAAATAGTCTCAGAACTCAAGTAAGGCCAGTAAGGTTAAAAATAAGGGTGGTAAGCTCATAGTAAAGCCAGTAAGCGCTTTCAGTACCAAATGGAGGTGCATCGGTTGACTGCTTCCATCCTTCGCTGTCCTGAATGCCTCTAAATGTCCTTTGTATCCTTCAATACTCCTGTTACATTCACAAGGGTGCATACACGCCCAAGAACCACCTTCAGTGCCTCAGGTTTTGGCTGCAGCCAGGTCTGTCCCACCTGTGAACCCCAGCCAACTCACAGTGGGGCATGCAAGGATCCCCCTTTTATCCTGCCTCACGCCTTGTGGCTGTGTGACAGGTGACAGCACACTGCCACCAGGGCTCCAGGGCCATGCCACAGACTCCCCTGCTTGTTTTGTTTTGGTTTTTCTTGACTTGCAGCTCAGCATTGACTACTACCCCTTCAAAGCACCTACCCCTTGGAAAAAAAAGCAGAATGGCTCTCATAGACTCCAGGTTGTAGCTCAGGAGGCAGTGGCAACCTGCTATGACTTTTCTTGGAAAGGAAGTTAGATATAGCAACTCCGGTCCTAGGTCAGGACTCAGCAGCTCCCCACCCTGTCCGATGTAAGACTTCCCACATTAGAACAGCATTGTTTTAATTTTACTGAAATGTACTAAGTATTTGGATATTATAAGCTACCAAAGGCCACACATATATGCACATGAAACATGACCACTTCTGAAAAGCACACTACATTTAAAAAGCTTATCCATTCACAACACACTAAGACCCTATAAGTCAACAATTGACACTTATCCTGACTAGCAATTAATGATGAGAAATCATAATATAACTCAGAACCTGTGTGCTTCACACACTGTTGTCTCACCAGCGTAAACCATGGTGAGCCTGACCTTTGTGCATCATTTCCCTCTTTCTACAAACAGACAGAGTTTACTGGCACGGTAAATAAATCTTACAGAAGATTGAATCAGAAGGCAGACAATGCTCCAGAAAGAAGAGTTTTCTGGTTTCCGAATGATATTTTCCTGTTTGCTAAACAGCCGCCCTCTCAGGTTAAACTGACCCACCGATCTTGGGATGCCACACATATCTGAAGGGAGCAGAACTGGTTATCCCAAAAGGGTAAATGCACCATCTCAAACCACCAGTGTATCACTACTGCAGCCATTCAGCCTATTGCTGCCACAGCCTTAAAAATTAATGAGTTCTCCAGGGAATATATAGACATAATGCTCAAAGCAAAAGAAGCTGCTGCCAATACTGTTTTCCTCTTCCCTAGACACCACTTCAAATCAAAACAGAAGAGCAGCTTTTGCCTCCTAGCTGAGTATCAAGATCCTTTCAGACAGAAAACAATATCTATGGCCTGTGTGGACAGCCCTTGAAATTTCCCAACTTGCGATCCAATACCACCTAGTCTGACCTTGTTCTCACTGCTACCTAGGGGGTGACTTCTGCTATCAAAATTAAACATGAAGAGAAACTAAGCTTCATTTTGGGGTAACTTCTGAAGTTATCTTAATCCAAGTTTTATGAAGATGCTAAACCTTGCTTAGAAATTATGACCCGCATACAACTAAAAGGGGTGCTTACTTTCTCCAGCTCTAGCACTGACTTGATTTCTCACTTTTCCTTTTCTATGCAACAGTCAACAACACACCTGCAGATATGATATGGCATATACACAGAAACACAGGTCAGCAAAGTCGTTTCTTTAAGGAAACATCTCACATAAAAGGGAACATCAGCAGATGGGGTCCTGCTCCTGCATCATACTCTTCAAATGTGAAAGCCTGGCAGGTGCAGAGGGGGACAGGAACAATCAGTCTCTCACCCTTTCCAACTCTTGCTTTTCATGGCACCACTCCACACAAAAGACACAAAAGAGAAACAGCTTCTTTTGCCTTCCAATCCCTTTGCTTCCCCAAAACCACTCCACACGTTAACCAGTGCCACTGAGAAAGTCTGCCAGAAAAAGGTTTAGAAATCCTCAAACAAAATGCATTAAGCATTCAGAATTATCATCAATTAACAGCTCCAGAACAACACATGAGGGATTAACGCAGAAGAGGAGCTTTGAAATTTGCACTGATCTAAGGTCTGAGACCAGTTCTTGAACAGAGGAGGAAAAAATACTTCTCTAGGACAAAGGACCAATACCACGCAAATCACTGTGACGAGCTTTATCTAGCCTGACATGTTAGCAGGATCTCACATTTCTGCTCATCTCTACCTCTGGTAACTTATGAAGCATCAGCTCCTAAAATCATGCAGCAACCAGAAAAGAAAACTGACAATCACAACCAGGTAAATGCAATGCTCAAGTTCAATATTCCAGGAAATTGGCCTAAAAATGGCTGGATGGATTAACGTGGCATTTTCCAGGACCAGTACATCACGATGATCTTTCCAGATACCTGCTGTGTTCTCAGAACCATAATGATGTCCACAGCAATCAGCTGTGAAAAGAGTAAAAAACCAGAAGCAAATTACTTTCATGTATCCTGTAGTGGTGGCTATCAGCTCATTTCAGCCCATGATGAAGTCCCTCACAAACAACGGATTCTATAACTGCTGTGGAAAAGCTGCTTCTTTCATACTTGGACAATACCAATATAAATCAGAAGCTGCTAATCTGACAGGATGTAGTGGAGAGGGCGGTTTCTACTTCCCTGGTTTGAAGCCTTTGTGGCAGAGGGTTACTCAGCTCTTTCTGAGAGGAAGGGAAATACATAGCTAGAGGAGCTGACACTTGGACTGGAGAGCTGATGGACACAGATTGGGCAGGGTGAAAGCCATGCAGAGAGTAGCAGAGATTGTGGTATCAGCTGGGGAAAAAAAAAAAAAAAAAAAAGGAAGAAAAGCTTGTAGACACAGATAGGAAACTCTATATTCCAAACTGGAATAAACATCCGGTTTCAAGGACAGACAGTAAATTAGCTCAGAGATCTACTCTCAATTTTTACTTCTGCTCAGCATCAACAACAAAGGGAGTAAGCTGGATGCCTTAATAAAGCAAACTCCCAAATGACAGCAGACACTATTCCAGCTAGCTTTGGACTGCCTTCTCCTCCCAGCATAATCAGCAATCTCATAGGCACAGCTTTACAAATCCCAGGCTACCGGACAAACACCAACAGGCTGTGACAGAACACAGTGAATTCAGAGTTAGTGTGTGCAGAACTTTTAAGCAAGCTTGCCAAGCAGAACAGAATCTTTTTCTAAATCTTGAATGCACAGACAGTGGGCTCTTCTGTCCAAACACTGGAACCAGCATAATGACTGAATCAGCATCTTACAACTGGCACAATTTTGGGGGTTAAAAATCCCCTTAATTAAAGTTAATAAGTGTAACTTTAAAGTCATGCCCAGGACTAACACAAAGCAACAGTCCTCAATTTAAACTAATGCAAACTAATATAATGTAACCTAATCCACTCAAGGATAACAGACTGAAAACTGATGTTCTGAGCTGCACTGCAAATAAAACACTGTTGCTTTAATTGCTGGTTCTCTCATCACGACATAACTTTAGAGCACTGAATCTCAATTTGTGACCTGTTGCCCACTGGCAACACAAAGAACTGTGGTAAATGGTCAAAACTACATTTAGGATCTACAGTCAGGAGCCTGAGGGGTTAGGGTGCCAGAGAGCACACAGGAAATTCAAAGGGATGTTTTTTCCTAAAAAACTCAGGGCATACATTGTTCTACATGATGCATAAAGCTCAAAAGAGTTAAAAGAGCAAATGGCAGTGCCTGCTTCAGGGACAAAATACATAATTAAGAAATTTGGAATGTTAGAAAATGTACATAGCATGGAGAATATCACACATGTTAATAGTAATATACCACAAAGAACAGAGTAGCGTCTGAAAACATGGTTTAAGACAATAAGTAATGGGCTAAAATACACACAGCATTTGGGCACTTAGCTCCTTATGTGTCAGGGCAAGTCAGCATCACGTAAGTATAAGAAAAGTCCTCCTCTAATTTAAAAGAAAATATTAACTTTTTTAATTATGTGACCATTCTAAACAGGCTCTGAAGATGCAAAAGCAAACCCCAGTAGAATAAAATAGCCATTACATGCTTTTTAGTCACAGGATTTGTTACAATAATTCTTGAAGCTCCCAGCAGTTTCATAACAAAGTAGTCACATCTGCAGTTCCACAGAAATTATCATGTCTGTGCCAACATTTCATCTCACAAATGTTTGCAGGCTCCGATTTCCATGTTTGGAAGAAGACTGAAACAAGTCAACTACTTATATTATTCCACCTCCCTGGCTTGCTATTCTCAGAGTTAAGGAGCAAAGGCTTTGGTCAGTGTAATGGAATGGTGGCAGTGATCTCCACTGGCAAGGGAGGCTCTGCTCCTAAATGAGACAGCTACAGCCAAGCCCCAGGCTGGTGATATACACTGCAACTGATACTGAAAATGAGGGAACAGATGCTGTTGGAGTACTGAATGGAAGACATTCTGGGAAAGACATAAACCAAATCTAGCCATACTCAACCAGTGAAGGTACAGGAAGGAAGCTGGAAGTCTCTGTTTGCAGAAGTAAAAAGGACTATGCAGAACTATCAGAAAAAAAAAAAAAATGTACTGCCTGATGAATAAAATGGGTTCCCACTCCTAGAATCTCTGGATGATGCTAGAAAAAAACCCAACATACTAAGCATAATTTATTTCCCTCTATTATAAAAAAACCAAACCAAACAAACAAACCAACCCCCAGAAAACAAACAGCAAGTGTAATTCAGTAAATTCAAAAGTGGTATCGCATATCCAAGCGAATGCTTCAAATAATATCTTTGGTAAAACAAGTACTCCCTTAGGGAGGCTGAATCAAGATGCCTAGCTTGCTTTTAAGTGTCCTGACCTAAACATTATGACCTAAATCTTGCAAGAGCAGAGAAAAATGAAACCTCAAGCCCACGTGGATTCTCACTACCATTAGAAGGCCTGCAATGGTTTGCCTTCTGTACTATTTTATGGGAGTATACACCTATATTTCAAATAGCCCAAACTCTGTTCAAGCCCAAGACACCAGTATGAGCTGCAAAATTTTATTACTGATTGAGAAACATGGAATGCATTCAGGGAGATCCACTTTCTGGATCTCCCTGAGAAAAGGTCTGCCTTTTCAACAGACAGCTACTCAACAGAGAAGTGTGAGAACAGGTCTCCAGAGTGACTGTGTGGAAAATCTTCTGCTGCTTGTGTTGTCACCACAGCTGCACAGGACAATTGTCAACCTACAACCCATGGACTGCTTGTCACAACCCAATTTTCAGAAAGCAGACAGGATCAGTGAGCAGGTTCGACAGACTGTTCTCGTCCCTTGTACTTCTCTCAACCAAAGAAGTAACTTCTCAAGTCCTCTTCTCCCTATCCCCTTAATGTTCATTTAACAACTGCCATTCTACACAAGTGAAGTAAAGCTGTGGTCCTGGCAAGCTGGTGGGTGGCACAAATGGGGCTACAAAAAGCAAGGTAACTGTTTGTTTAGCTTTTTTAACCCTGCCTTCCAAAAGGACACAAAGCTCATTATACCAGTGCAGTCTTCCCCTCAACTCACGGTCACCTCCACCTAAAAAAGTCTGCAATGTTGTTAGCTGCTAAAAGTCTCCTGCCATTGAAATAGCAGGAAGAGAAAGAAGGTAGTAATAGGAATGACCTGCTTTTAGAGACTGCAAGTCATCTATTATGAAAATGGTTATTATTTATAGGATCTGGGAGATACAATTCAGAACCCTCACTGTGCAAAATTCTGAGTTCCCCCCCCCCC